TATCCTCCTTCCTTGAGCATATCAAGAGTGCGTTTGTATTTATGGAAACATGGAAGGCAGTATATGATTGGTTCTACTATCGTGAGATTAGGATGACAATTTAAACAGTAAGCTAATTCTAACGGGTCTAAAGAAAAGCCATGAAAGATACAGTATCTTAAATCTGATGGGAGTGACTTCCGAATGTAACATTTGGTGCATAAAGCGCCTAACTGATTTTGATATTTGCATCCAGCTAGTATGATGCATTTCACATCCAGCATACTAGGGTATGTTGTTAATATTTCTTGAAATTTACTCATTTTTTGGAATTATGAAAATATTATTATAAGGTGGTTTACTTAAAGGATTAGTTTTATAGGATTGATAGCATGTGAAGCAGTCGTCTACGGGTCTATTGATGCCTAATGGCATATGACAATAATCGCAATTTCTAATATTGTATTGATCACCGATAGTTAAGTAGTGCGAGACTAATTTTTCGAAAAGTTCTGAGCTGTCAAGAAAATCATTGATTAAACATAAGTGACATAAGAGTGTATTAGATGGGACATGTTTGAAGCCTTCGGTCCGTAAGCACCTTGGGTTGGCAGGTTGCCTAGTGGCTGAAAAATTACGGACAGTTTCTTGAGGTTGCGAATTATATACCAGGAACACCCTGAAACAGAGGTATATGTTAATTATGTTCATCCTGGCTCAATGTGTGAGTTTTAGTTAATCCACATGCACTGTGCGTGTTGTATTTCCGTATTGGATGGTAATATTGTTATTCGGTAGAATTTCTAGAACTTTATATGGACCAGTATATTGGTCAGAAAACTTTCCTTTAGAAGGTTTTTTAATAAAAATACAAAATCTCCTTCTTTAAAGTTCGCAGGGTTAATGCGTTTATCATAATAGTGTTTATTTCTTTCTTTTGATTTAATTAAATTTTGCCTAGCCTCTTCCTGGGTTTCTTGTAAGTGTTGAAATAAATTGGAAAGGTACTTTTGATATGTTGGCTCTAAATTTTGCTCGAGTGTTTTCTGTGACGAGGGAAGGCGAGGTATTCGTCTATATATTAATTGAAAAGGTATGTACTGAGTGCTCTCATGGACACTGGTATTATAGAAAAACATAGCAAAATTTAAATAATCATCCCAATTATTTTCTTTTGTAATTTGCGTCTTTTGTAACGTCCCTCGCGATCCCTCAGACACAAGAAAAGTTTGCTCTCTTTTGTTTTAGGCCTGCCTGCATTCACCGACAATAGCCAGGGCTGGTAGAGAGCAGTGCATTGAGAGGAAGTTATTTACGAGTGCGTTTAAGTGTAATGAGAGTGAAGTGACTCGAAAGTAATAACTTTCTATGAAAAATAATTAAATTGTAATTTGTAGTAGAATAGAATTATAATGTAAAGTGATTCTGATTGATATATGTAAATGGAATATGGAATAAAGAATAAAATATCTAATAAATCGAGGATTCAAAAATTATGTTCAAAATGCTAATATTATAAATTGGTATTTTTAAGGTTGCGAGTTTGCGATGAATAAAGGTCTACTAAATAAGGAGAATCAAGGAAAAATACTAAAAGGATGTATCTTAGATAATTTTAGGTTGTAATGTGTGATTCTCGAAGAATGAAATGGATTTAATATTCGAAACGTGTTTTATTCGTTGTCTGTAAGTACACTCACTAGCGCGTCAACTACTACTTGCTCGCTACTAGTTAAATTCTTATGCAAATCTAAATTCGGATTCTGAACCTGTTGGTCTCTTGATTTTAATTCGATATATGTAGGTTCCTCTTTAATAACGGGCGCGGTCGGCGCGACGGGCCCTGACGATAATGGTCTCAATGAGGCGCGAACCTCGATATAATAACTTTTTGAATTAATAATGAAATACCCTCTTTCTGTAGGGTTAGGAGAGTTAGGCACGACGGAGACAGGTGTTCTCTGTTCCGCGGTGCGCGATATCCACCTGCGTAGTCGCTCTCTATACTTCTTGCCGCATCCCTTTGGCATCTAATATATTGAATAAAAATTCTACGCTGTACTTGATTTGATTTTAATTAAAAAAACTCTGTAAGAACGACCAAGATGGTAAAGTATGGATGTAAAGCAGTAATATCGTCTCTGGTCTCTCAATATTTTTATGTAATAAGATCCTGGTTGCAATGGATCTGTCGAAGTCTCGATCAGGTCTCGACCGACTTGTCAGTCAGGAGGCCCTCACGCGCTACTTCGCAATTCGTTGTAATTAATTAAGCTCCGGAGCGCTCGTGAGATGCTACCGAAACTGTCAGAGCTCAGTCTTAGCAAGCAAGAAGAATGTGACCAAGAGCGGTAAACGCTACCCAGTACACTAGCAGTATTATGGTGTCACGAAGAACACCGCAGCTCTGCAGGAATGTGTGTAAAGGCTTACGACTGACACAGGTGCCAGTGAAGCATCGAGACCAAAGAATGTATGCAAGGTTTGCCAGAGTGTAAAGGATGTATTGGATAGAGATCGTTCTTAAAGAGAGAGCAGTAACATAGTAATCGTAATATAATTAAGAGCGAGTACAATAACGGCGTTTAAGCTAGTTAATATAATATATAGAAATATAGAGTGAATGACAATATAAAATAAATGACGATATAAAAATCAGAGTAATAACTGTATTGAGAATAATAATAATTTTAACGATAGGTGGTCGCTCGGATCCTACCGGTCTAGTGTTCGAGTACAAAGGGGGATAGATATTAGGCTCACGGTCGCTTATTGTAGGGATCCGCTGGTCGTGATTGAATTCGCCTGGGCACGCTCGTACTGTCGCTGCAGTTCCGTACGCAGGTCGGTCGTAGAGAATCTCGGGATGAGTGGAGATCGCTGGCTTCGATAAAGTATAACTCCCGATAAAATGTTCACGCAGCTGCGCGAACGAAGACTTGGAATAATGAAGAATGTATGTCGTACGATGTTCCCGAACAGGCTAGCGCGGAGCGCTCCGGGAGCACGCCTTTTATAGGGCTCCAGCGGGGGCTTCGTTCGATTCCGACGGTTTCCGACGACGGTCGGGCCGCAGCGCCGAATTCCGTAGTGGCACGGTGGTTTCGAGTCGGTCGGTTGCGAAGGGAAGTCTCTACGCCTCGGCTTATCTTTCCGATAAGCTCGGGGGACCGGACGCCGTTCTCGGTGGCGTGATGCGTAGCGTCGTCACGTCGCGTCGAACGTTCGTACCTAAGCGAGTTCGTCTCGCGAATATTTTTATGTTATATGTTCGTACAAAAGTTGCGATCTCTTAGCTCTAACAGCGGTGGTGTACGCTCCTATACAGTTCGTTACAAAATATGCTTCTACTATTCCTTTCGTCACGTATGGCTTTTCATCGGCTAATTATTAGGCGGTGATTTATATTTCCCTTAACGGATAGAAGTCTACTGGAGGACTGCTGCCACCAGATTCTTATGTAATTTTAGTTTAAGCCGTCTCTGACGATTGAATTAGTAGGATTCGCGGCTGAAATAAAATATCCTATGGACTACTTCTCAGTTTAGTATAAATCGGCCTCAGGTTGATGCAATATCTAGCGGCGTGAAAATTTAGAGATTTTTGGGGCCGGGACGTTACACTTTAAATATTCTGTTAACGAGTGCTGCGGTCTCTCAAAGGAGCCTTGGGACTGGGGGTGATAGGCTGTAGTCTTATATTGTCTGATACTAAATTTTTTTGAAAGGTCTCTCAGTAAAGAGGTTAAGAAATTGGAACCTTGATCGGTTAGGAGAGCTTTGGGGGCTCCGTAAATGCAAATAAAATTTTTTGTAAAGGCATCTGCTATTGCCAATGAAGTTACTTCGCTTAAAGGGATTGCTACTGAATATTTCGTAAGTAAGTCCTGGATTGTGAGGATGTGTTTCCTTTATTGGTTGTGGGCAAAGGTCCCATTATGTCTAACGCGATTTTGTCGAAAGCGGCGCCGGGTGTGTCTGTAATAATCATAGGTTGTCTAATTTTAATTCGCGTTAATTTTTTCAATTGGTATTCCTTACATCGCTGAATAAACCTTTGAATATCCCTTTTCATATTGGGCCAGGAATAATTTGTTTTCAATCTGTTATATGTTTTCGTGACTCTCTTATGTCCGCCTATAGCAGACGAGTGATTTTCTTCTATAAGTATTTGTCTGTTTTCCTCTCTAGGGGTTTGGATCAGTCCTTTGCAAATCGTTATGTTAATATTCTTATCTTCAAAAAGTTTTATTAGTTGTTTTTGAATATAACTCCAGGGGATGTCATCGAAACGATCCGTTTTCCGTATGCTGAATGATTTTAAATAAATTTTTCCTACTACGTTTAAAAGGGATTTAATACAATTTTTTACGTTATCCGAGTCTATAATTGTTTGATTATCCATTTTGATTGGAAGTGAGATTAAAACCTTGGTGCCAAAGGCATTTACCTTAGCTCTTTCTAAATTTACATTTTCATATTTTGGGAGACGTTCAGCTTGCTGATGTTTCTTTGTACCGTTATCGTATAAAGTCCCGTTTAGGGTTATAAATATCACCTGATTATCGTTTCGCGATAAAAGGGGTTCGCGATTAATTTTTACGAGGGGTTGAGGTCGCGGTAAATTTGCGGGTACACAATTTGATTCAAATATCTCCTTATCTTCACTACTTTCGGTTTCTTCTATAAGTTCTGAGTCTAATTGTTCTTCTTCTGAGGTTGAAAATATATTTTCCCATTCTATATTCCGTATTTCGGGCTGGTTCTCATTATTAATTTCGTTACTGTCGTAGGGTATTTCAATTTCTACGATGGGTTCTATATTCTGAGGATTTTGAACATTGGTTGGAGGAAATGTGAATGTTTGATTCGTTTCTACGGGGGGTGAAGGTAGGGCGTTGTCGTCTAAACTTTCAATTGGAGGATGACTTTGTAAGGGTCGCGATAAGGTGTGTGAACTATCGCAGGTGTCGCTATATTGCTGCCTACTGGGTGCGGTTTGATAAGAAAATAAAGATTCATCGGAAGATTCGTTAGGAATAGAAGGATCTGGGATAAAGAGAGAATTGCTCGAAGCAATTGGAGGATTTCTTGATAGGGCGTCTGCGTTGCTGTTGAGAGTACCCTGTTTATATTGAATCTCAAATTCGCATTCTGATAATTTAGTGCGCCATTTCCATAGACGCGATGAAGGATCTTTGATTGAATTTAACCACATCAGGGATTTGTGATGTGTAATAATTATGAATTTGCTGCCATACAAATAGGGTCTAAAATGATTTATGCAATATATGATAGCTAGACATTCCTTCTCGATTGTCGAGTAATTTGTTCTGCCCGATTTAAGACTCGAGAGGTGTAAGCAATAGGGAGGTCTTTTCCTATAGGATCTTGTCTCAAAACTCCGCCCATAGCATATCCTGATGCGTCTGTTGTTAAATTAAAAAGACGAGAAAAATCTGGGTATTGTAAAAGTGGTTCCGTAGTTAAATGATTTCGCAGTGTTTCAAAAACTGCGTCATGTTGCGTATTCCATGAAAATTGTTTGTCCCTTTTTAACAAATCTGTCAAAGGTTTGACTATTTTGGAGAAACTAGAAATAAAGCGTCGGTAATAACCAGCGAGTCCTAAAAATTCTTTGATATTCTTGGGCGTTTTAGGTACTGGGAATTCTTGTATGGATTTAATTTTAGAAGGATGAGGTTTTACTCCGTTCGAGCTTATAATGTGGCCTAAATATATTACCTCATGTCTCAAAAATTCGCACTTATCTGGTTGCAACATTAAATTCGCTTCTCTCAATCTTTTCATTAATCTTTGAAATTTAACGCGATGTTCCTCTAATGATCGAGCGTAAACTACGATGTCATCCATGTATACAAATAATTCGTTGCCTTGTAATCCCGACAGTACATTACCCATTAATCGTTGAAAAGTGGCCGGCGCGTTTTTAAGTCCAAATGGCATTCTTTTAAATTCATAGTGACCGTACGGGGTACTAAAAGCTGTTTTAGGCGCGTCCTTTTGTGACATTGGAATTTGGTGAAAACCGGACGCGAGATCTAATACGGAAAAATGTTTCGCATTGCCCAATTGGTCTAAAATATCTGTAATATTAGGCAACGGGTACGCGTCGCCTATAGTTTTTTCGTTTAATAGTCGATAGTCTATTATAATTCTCCATCTCTTGTTTCCGTGTGAATCTGCCTTTTTTGGCACGATCCAAAATGGTGAGTTATAAGGCGAATTTGAAATTTGAATTATATTTTTCCTTAATAAATCATTAATTTGTCTGTCCACCTCTTCCTTATGCACAGGTGGGAATCTATATTGTTTAACATGAATGGGTACTTCGTTTATGGTTGGAATTGAATGTTCGGTAGAGTTTGTAGTGTCTAACTGTTCGTTAGATAAATAAAATCTGTCCGAATTTTCAAGAACTAAAAACTTTACATGCTCCCTTTCTTCATCATTCAAATGGTCAAGGCGTTATAATCTTAATATTTCAGCTTCTCTCAACGCTGGAGAGTAGAAGCTGGGATTGGGGATGGAATCAAAAGGACTAAGGCCGTCGGGATCCCTCGCGTCTCAACAGCACCACAGACAGTCGCGGGCCCTCGGTCGCAACTATTCAGTGTGTCCGAAAAAGTGGAATTAAGGGGACCTTCATGAGCGTGATCAATTAATTCTGTAACGTCCAAGTCTCCAAAAACCTCAAAACTTTCGCACCACCACAATATCAAAAGGCCGCAGTGGCCATTAGCCGATTTGTGCTAACTGAGATATAGCATAAGTAATATTTTAGGTAAAATTTCATGTTAACAGCGACCTTACTAATTCAGTTGTTAGAAAGGGCCGAGACTATATTATAAAACATTGATAGTGCAAACAAAAAGCACTTTAGCATGATCAAAATATTATCAATATTAATAAGAAAATTATAAATGCCATACATAACAACGGAATTATTAACACAATTAAATAATATAGAATATTCGCGTAGCGAACTCGCTTGGACACGAGCAAACGCGTTCAGCATGACATCATCGCATCGCTATGCATCACGCCACCGTGCATCATGTCATCCAGCCACCCGCACGCATTATCGATAAGCTGGAGCGCAGTGGAATCCCTTTGAAAAAAACCAACTCGGGACTCGTGGGCTTCGTAGCAACGGGTCGGAGAGAAAAATTAGTACAAAAGTTGAAGTGTTGAAATAATGTGTATATGTGTAGAGTTCGGTGGTTTTCCCGAATGAATACACGGCAACGTGACAGGGTGTATGACTTATGATTTTCCCGAACAGTGCCGAATTGACGCAGTGTGTGTGTGTGTGTGTGTGTGTGTGTGTGTGTGTGTGTGTGTGTGAATTGCGTAAAGACTGCCGAAAAAAAATCTGGAATTCGGCGCTGCAGAATCGACCGCCATCGAAAGCCGCCGGAACCAAGCGATGCCCCGTCGGAGGCCCTATAAAAACCATGCTCCCCCAGCGCTCGTGGCAGTTCTACACAGTTTTTTTCGACAATCTTTACGCAATTCACACACACACACACACACACACACTGCGTCAGTTTGGCACTGTTCGGGAAAATCATAAGTGATACACTCCGTCACGTTGCCGTGCATTCATTCGGGAAAACCACCGAACTCTACACATATACACATTATTTCAACACTTTAACCTTTGTACTAATTTTTCTCTCCGACCCGTTGCTACGAAACATTTGTTCGGAAGGTCATATACTCAAATACACAAGTTAACGACTTTACATCGGGAACGACTCCGAGATATACAACTTCCAAATCACCCATCGCCTGCTACATTAAGGTGACCATCCGGGCTCTTCTACTGATAGCCAGCCGACACCGTGTGCCCATACAAGCGTGACCTGGCAAATTACAATAAGTTCGATATATTACTACGAAAAAATAATCGTAAGTTTACCTTATACACTCATCCTAGCGTTTAGAATATTCACACAATAAAATATAAAAGACTTAATACTGTCAACATAAACTATATTTTATCCTTGTCTTAACCTCGTTGTAATCACTTGACAACACATAGGCTTTGAACAATTAATAATATAAAACCGCTTTAGCTTAAATATCAGTCTTAACACCTTTTTAGTATTTGCTCTCATTTCCCATATCAAGTTACATCATATTTTCCTTAAGGGTGATTTTGCTACTTCTTATCCAGCCTTACCTCACGCATATCCTTTGGTCTCTCGGCTTCTCGGACTGAATTGTCTGACGAAGATCTATTACACACTCATTCCTGCAGAGCTGCGGCGCCTTAGGCGGTACTATAGTTGTGCTAAATTACTAGGTAGCATAAATCGCTCCTGGTCGCTTTCTGCTTTTTAAGATCGAGCTCTGACAGTCCATGGTAGTAAATTACACCGTACTCCAAGACTTAATTAAGATATAGCGATTTGTGGAATAACGCGTGAAGATTTCCTGACTAGCGAGTCGGTCGAGATCTGAACGAGACTCCAACAGATCCTTGCGAATTGGACCTTAATAATTAAGAATTAAGAGACCAGAGATACCTTCCTGCTTCATACCAAATATTACCTATCTGAAATCACTCTTATGGAATTTATTCATTGAAATCAATTAACGACATAGATTTAAATTTCATTCAAATAAATAGATGCCGAAACGAAGTGGCAGAAAATATAGAGAGCGCCTACAAAGGTGGTTTGCACGTACTACAGAACAAGGCGTACCCGTGTCCATAACGCCCAGCTCGCCGAACCCCACAGAAAGAGGGTATTTTGTAATAAATTCAGGAAATTATTTTATCGAAATTCGCGCGTCACTGCGACCACTTCCACCAAGACCTGTCGCGCCGACCTTACACACAATCGCGGAAATACCTGAATATACAGAATTAAAACCGAGAGATCAAGAGGTTCCGGTTTCTGCAATAAAATCTGAAAAGGATTTAACTAGTAGTGAACAAGCTGTGGTACAGGCATTAATGGATGTACTCACTAACGATCAATAAAATTCAGTAAACTACAATTTTCTCATAAAATAACAACCGATGAATTTATTAACCCACACCGTCCCTAACCTGCGTACGATATTTCCATACTCCATTGTAACTTAATTTCTTTACTTTCTTTTTTTCTCGTTCAATTGATAATAATTAACGTATTACGGATATTATAAGATAATCAGGACATTCGGTCTTGTACAATAAATCGATTGCTACATAAAATCTCCAGTATTCAATTCATATTTTCTTATTGCCGTGTCAAATAATTTTATTCTTCATACATTAAAAGTGTAATATGAAATCACGTCACTTTCACACTATTTCACAACACGAATAGACAACTTGCTCTCGATGCACGGTTCTCTACCAGCCCAGGCTTTTGTCGGTGTATGCAGGCAGGCCTAAAACAAAAAGGAGAACATAACGTTTTTTGTGTCTGAGTGGTTACGAGGGACGTTACATATAAAAGTCTGGTGGCAGCGCGGTGGGATTGGTCAAAGTGACATCGTTAGGAAGCAATAATTACACAAAACAATTTAATTCTATTACACAATGGCTAGAAGCCTGCGTTCGAATTCGAGTAAATTGCTTCCGGAAGCAACCGCGGAACTCACCGCAGAAGAATCAGAACATGTCAAAAGTAGATTAGAAAAATTAGAGGAAAAGGAAAAGGAAATTCGCGAGATGACAGAAGCCCTACGAAGAGAAAAAGAAGCATATAGTAGGAATTTTTTAGATACACAGAACACTCAAGCCATAATGGCAGATCTATATAAAGAAATTCAAACATTTAAACCGTTAATTAATCAGGTTAATACTTTGCAAGAACAAATTACCTCACTACGAAATAATTCACAGCCACGAGTCTCCACGCAACAACACACTTATGAAGAAAGAATTAATTCCCCAATTACTCCCATACACTCTCCCCATCCTCTCGAACCGTCACCCATTCGCTTAAAGGACATAGTCGATTCAATTCCAACATATGACGGGCAACGAATGTCCGTATTTCAGTTCAGTAAATTATGTGAGCGTGCTTTAGATTTAATTCCGCCTCATCAAGAATCTTATTTGATACAATTAATACTCAATAAATTAATCGGGCACGCATATACAGCCATTGAGGGCACACATTTCAACACTGTTGCCGCATTGACGCGAAAATTAAAGCAAAGTTTTGGTCCGAATAAATCATTAAATCAATATAAAGGAGAACTTGGCAACGCATATATGAAACAAAACAAAAGTATTTTTGATTACATTGCATGTATTAAAGAGTTGCGAACAGCTATAATTGATGGAGAACTTGAATTTCACAATAGACTCGATGATTACATGATGGATAGCATCGATTTTGATGTATTAGAAAGTTTCATAAATGGTCTACCCTCAGAATTATTGATCCGCGTTAAAATAGAAGGTTATAATAATTTGGACGAAGCTTACATGAAACCAATACAAATGTCAAAAACTTTACAAACCGAGACACAGCGACGCAAGACTCCTATTACCAAATCTTATTCCTTTATGCCTCTTGTGAGACAAGACGCTCTTTCAAATCCCCGAGGATCTTATTCACCAATGCCTACCGATCCTAACCAACCTCGAAGTATCCTACAAAGATCTTCTGCACCCTTTATCAAACCCCTCGTTCCGGGTCAACCAGGATCCAACGCCCCCCTTGTAAAATTCTGCCGTTATTGTAAAACTGAGGGACATCTTATTAATGATTGTATTAAATTGAAATATCGAAATTCTTATTCGCACCAACCATCCGCCTCTTCGACACAAAATAATGAATCGGGAAACGAGACACGCGCACCGGTAACGAGCGACGTCTGCCGGGACGCGACGGAAAAAACGGGACGTCCGAATGTAAGGTTTCAGGAGACAAGCGAGCCGGTCCAGTGAGGGAAATAATTAAAAGTGCTCCGAACATAGTTTTGTCTTCTGAAGATTTGAACAGAGCCTATACTTTTATGGTCGATTCAGAGTCCGATGTTAATTTAATAAGAAAAGAATGTCTCAAAAGTTACATAAAAATTGATAAAAATGACGAAATGATATTACAAGGCATTTCACCGGAACCCATTCGTACTTTAGGCTCTGCATTTATTACTTTACTCGGGAAACAAACTAAATTTCACATCCTACCCGAGAATTTTTCGCTTAAACAACATGGTGTCTTAGGCATCGCATTCTTTATTCAACACGACGCGACTATCAACTATAAAGAAAAATCAATTTCTTGTGATACGGTACACATTCCGTTCGCCGAGGCAGAACATTTAGAGATTCAACCGCGTATTGTCGCACCTTTCTGTGTCGTAATTACTAACCCTGAAAAACCTCAAGGGTACCTTCCACGATTAAAATTTAAAGACGGCATATTCTTATGCGACGCCGCTGGTCGCTAATCATAAAGGCAAGGCATACTTACCCATTTTTAATGCAACTTCAGAGGTGATCAATGCTGAAATCCCCCATGTCGAACTACTCAACTTTGATATTTTGGATACACAGGAGGTCTCCGGCCGAGGTCACGAAGATCCT